TATTATTAAATTATGTCGTGAATATGACCCATCAATGTCTCAAAGAATGATGATATCGTGGCTAGAAAATGACGCCAAAGATTCATTAAAAATTCAGATAAAACGCCAAATGAAAGTACTCACGAAATCAGCAATAACAATTCAAGCATTTTTTAAAATTGCCAAAGGCGAACAAGAACTACAACAAGACAACTTTTTCGGACCTCAACCGACACATTCTTATTTATCGTACTTCAATAATAAAGTGTGGACAACATTACCACGAACCGCAGGTCAATTTCAAAATCCACCTCCGCAAACATTTACCAATTTTCAACCGAGTAACCTATCTTATCGACTGAATCCTCCGAACGTTCGATTGCATCCATCTAATCTGCAAGCATCGCTTCCTGAATCCTATAACCTGGTATCACAACGCACACATGATCCGTCATCCGACACATTGCACCAACATACGCGTCAGCATGATCCTTGTTCCATCTGTCACCGAATTAACCATCGTACAATTGATTGCTATTACAAAAAATTGAATGGATGTTGGAATTGTGGACATTCCGGCCATCGAGTACGTGATTGCCTATGTATCAAATGATTGATACAATGTTTTGTCTCTTTATGTCTCTTTCCAATTTCTTTATTTCAATTTTTGGTACCTATGCTAATTTAGGTAATTTTTTTAGTTGATGATGTAATTGCTTTTCTTCTGGCTATCGTTCTTGAACTTTGTGGCTGTACTTGTTGTTTAATTCGCTGCCGATATGCTGCCTCCACATTCAGATGATAGTTACGAGAGAAAAAAAAATCTCTGAAATTTTACCTGAGGTGCTCAAGGTCTTATCACAGAGGTATTTTTGCGCAAATTTTTAGGTTTTAATGTTTTAAGAAGACCTTGAAATGCCGATATTATACATTGTGTAACAAAACGAAAATTATAAAATATAATTGAATACAGTGTTTCTTTTCTTAGTACTGTCAGTGTACGAACTCTTTTTAGCAGCGTGAGAGAAACTGAGAGACAAACACGAGAAAGGAAATGTATACCTCAATCGGGAATCGAACTCAGTGATACCAGTTATCTAGACAAATGCTCTTCTTCTGGGCTACGAAGCACAGTCTAATCACACATTTTCTTTCAAGTGAATACTTTTAATTCACAATTTCGTGAACAGGAGAAGAGCATTGGTCTAGATAACCGATATCACTGGGTTCGATTCCCGATCGAGGCATACATTTCCTTTCTCGTCTTTGTCTCTCCGTTTCTCTCACACCACAAAAAAAGAATATGTACACTACTTGACATATTAAGTCCATTCTTAGTACTGTATTGTCAGTATTTAACTTTTATCTTTTCCCTTACGTTCTGTTACCTCTGAGGTTTTTCATTTTAAATGTCTGTGTGTTTTAAGCCGATATAGGGCAAAGAAAAGTGATGTTCCCTTGGCCGGAGTCGTCGATTAAGGCCAAAAAATTGAAAGAACTAGAAGAAAAACGAAAACAGATCAGAAGACTAAAGTAACGCCGTGACATTTTCGGTAACGGCGTGACACAGTTTTTTACGGCATATATTTGAATTTCTCATAAAAGAGAGATTATCAAAAAGAAAACTACATTTGTCAGAGCAGTTTTTGGGCCTCATTTTCAATACCACAGTCAAATTCGACGTGTTCTGAACCATCTGGCTCGGGTGAAAGAACCGAACTTCATGAGCCGGGGTTATGTTATTCTGGTTTACTTGTTTTTCTAATCCGTTTTTGTTTTAGTTTTTTCAATTTTTTAGCCTTAATCGACGACCCCGACCACGGGAACATCGCTTTTCTTTGCTCTATAGACTATTTTGGCTGCTTGTGCAATAAGTTTTTATTGAAAGTACTGTGTACAACAACCCTGCATTTTAAGAGATTTAATGCGTTTACATAGTTCATTAATAGTTTATGAGAAGAAAAACACTTGAAAATATGTCTTGTGTACTTAACAGAAAACATTTTCTTCTCATACAACATAACAAAACTGTACAAAACTAAAAATACCTTCAAAAATCTTTTTTTACATTAGTTGAAATTAGATCTTGGTAAGCGATATGAATGGTAGTTTAAATATTGATCGTAGAGTTTTATTCTACAAAAGGTTGAATAAAACATTGTTCGTTCGATTCTCGTCTGCATAAAATGTGGCAGTGTGTGTTATTTCTATATAGAAGAAAATGAAAAAGTTAACTATTCTGCCGCTGTCTCATTCGAATAGATGTTGAACCGTTGGTACATTAGAATTGAGAAGATACAAAATTAGGTATACATTTCTGTTAACTCATGTTGAATATTAGACAGAACGATCTGGGATAACATCATCTTTAATTTTTTTTAGTTAAAATGATAAACATTTTTTCGGCATCAAACTCGGACTAAAAAACTTGATTTTTTTCAACTTGATTAAATAACTTTAAAAACTTCGTTCTAGGCTCAAAAAATGCAGAATTTTGTCTAGTTTTTATGATAAGTTTGGCTTACAATAGATCGTTATGCTTTCTTTGAAACTGTCGAAATAGCAAACTCGGTTTAAAATTCTCTTCTTCGTCTTCTAGTTCGATGTCATTTGCCATTTCGAAATCAATAAAAGTGAGAGAAAGTTAGAACATAGCATTCTTTTTCGTCATATTTTTTCAGTTTAAAGCGCGTTGCTCGGATATGTTCAGCTACGATCAGAAATCAAATCTGGTGGCTTTGTGGTAGTACTGACTGGGGCTGGATGAGAAACATATGTGAAAAAACTGAGGTTCGCTTTTAGAGGGTGGCGATCATTAAGTTTGCAGTTTTTCAGAAGCGGATTTTGCTGTGGAATCTATGTAGTGGCACCAAAAACAGGTGCGAGGTTCATCCTTGTGTTATTAGAACAAGCATCGAAGCCGCTTCCATTTAACTAGCTTTTGTAGGACTTCATCATTTCAGAATCCTTCATCTAGTGTCGGACAGAATAATAATTGGAGAATATTCATTTTTTCTTTAGTAATATGCATATAAATCTCTCTACAATTTCTTCCTCCGATCAACCCAATGAGTTGATCGACGTTAGACTCTGTTCCTATGCCAATACAAAACGCTATCCATACTCCATATCATAGAATAACTGAACTATCTCAGAAATTGGAAAAAGAAACCTATTAAATAGTTTTCACTTTTTTTCCTTTTCCTCACACCACTCGACAGAGAATTCTGCGCTCATCACGAACATATGCCTCTTAGTTATTTTCGACACTTATTTGTGGTTCGAAAATTGAAAAAACTCGCAAGGCATCACAAAGTCTCAAAATGCAAGATTTTGGAGAAACGGTCGTAGTGTGGTCGCGTTATAGTTTCTACAGTCGAACCAAAGGCTTTTGGATTCAGGATTCAAAACTGAATCAGAAAACAGTCTGAAAACATTATTTGATCCCGAAGCTTATTTGGAAAAAGTCCCGAAATGCACATGACCCAAAAACCGAACGCAATTTTGCAAACCTAACACAGGTTTTTCTAGAGGTCGTAGAGGCAATATTGTTATACGGCTCGATCTGCCAGACTTCAAAAGTATACGTACACTTGTTTGAATAACATTTTTACTGCTGAGAAAATTAATTTTTTCGAAATAAGACGCGAAAAAGTCGGAATTCTGCCAGTAATTCTCACTTTTCTCAAACACAACTCACCTTTTATGCAATCCAGATATCATATTCGGAATCAGGATCGAAAACTCAGTCGATTGATGTGTATCCAAAACTGAGTCGAATGATGTACTTTTTGATGCTATCTGATTACGGTAATCAGATAGCATCAAAAAGTACATCATTCGACTCAGTTTTTGGATGGTGACTACGAGTATGATATTTTTATTGTGTGTGCTGACTTCTGGTCGAGAAAACAGAGAATTATCGTCAGAATTCCCGATTTTTCTGCTTATGATTTAGAAAATACCATATCTAGGGAACAACAAGAGAATTACGTAAAAAAAATGTGAAATTTTTTCCCGGCTATATGACGAGTCCGCTCATATAAAAAACTGGCTCCGCCTCTAATAAAAAGAATTGATTGCTTTTGTGAAGCACATTATACACTATCTATTAAATGCGTAGCATCATTAACACGTAACATCTCAACTGGAAAGGTCAAAAGGGGACGATTAATAGTAAAAATTCTTTTTTAGCTGTTTTCTCTTTTGATGACAAGGAGAACTCTTTTATCTTTAAGATTAAATAATGCAGTGCAAATATTCTACGGTTTGGTCCAGTCTAGTACTTTGTTTTACGTGTAATCATTGTTGCGGAAATTTTTGTGAGGAACATATTATTCTTCATTCAAGAGAAATACAACAATCCGCAAACTAAGATATTTATGAATGAAATGCATTGTTACGCTTCAACTGAAACATTCGATATGTTTTGTGTTCATTTTTTTCAATTAAGTTCATCCATCTCCTATTCGTCATCATCGTACGCACCTGTTTCTTGTAGCTCCTCAATCGTGAATCGTTCATCTTCGCCCACACATCCTTTATTTTCTTCAGCCCAACTTCCTGTCCTACCAGTATTCTTTTCGATTATCGTTTCACCATCCGGTACCAACCGTCCTGTAATCACACCTGGCACATCGTCGCTTCCTCTAATTACTACACCCACGTTTCATTGTGATGTCACTCGGTCATCGACATATCCACAAGGCACCTCAACTTCTAATACCGCATATAATCACCAGAACAACGAATCGTTATCTACGTTGAGAAAAATATCGATCATAAGTGAGAGCTATACATTTTATGTCAGGTGCCAATAATGCAAAGATAGAGCAGAATGTTTTTCCCGTATTTTCGCATGACTGGATAGAGCTCATTGAGCAGAGTAAGAGAAACTGGCTTTTAATTTTTTATAATATCTTGTTCAGGTGAAAAATCGAAAAAATTCGAAGGGTCTAAAATTTCTAAATTATTTTTCTTTCTAACTTTTTGAAAGCATATTTCCAGATTCATCATAAAACACTGAGTATGCGAATGATGGTTGATCGAGGTTGGAGTCAAATGCGTATCCAGTATGGACGTCTTAACTATAAAAAGGTCATAAACAGTTTAACAAGCGTATTTAGTTTTTGTGAAGAGATGAAGCCGATTTTTGTACTTCATCAGAGCCTTTATTAAACGAACTTCAAAAGCACAGATCGCTTTTTCCTTTGTGCTTTGTCACTGAGCAAAATTCATTTTTTCTAAACCAGGAGCCCAAAAAAAGAAATTCTGTCCGTAATTCTCAGTTTTATTCATCAGGACACGTATCATACTCTGAATGGGATATCGCAGTTTCATTAAAAAAGCTTTCATGAAAAGGAAGTGCATTAAAATTTTTAATGAAATTCTTGTGCCATCAGAAACTCTAGGCCTCAGTCATTTTGCACGAGACAGATTAAAAGTACCGATACTTTCATTAAAAAAAAAACATTTTAATGGAAGTTTTTTAATGAACGTCACCCAAGCCACGCCGCATTAACGTCACAAAACTGAATGGAATGATATATATTTTGAAACTTTCTGTAGATTTTCCTTTTCTGGTGAAAACATCAGCAAATTTTCTCCGCGAACATTCAAAAAAATTCTAAGTAGTCTAACTAAGTACAGTATTCGATTCAATTTGCAAAAGGTTCTGATGAAGTACAAAAATCGGCTTCATCTCTTCATAAAAAACTAAATACGTTTGTCAAACTGTTTATGAACGCGAGAAATAAAAATAACTGAGCTTTTTGTGAAACTAAAAGATTTTTCGAAATTTATCCTTCGAATTTAATTTTTCTACCTGAAAAAGGTATTATGAAAAATTAAAAGCCAGTTTCTCTTCCTCAGCTTGATAAGCTCTATCCAGTTATGCGAAAATACGAGAAAAACATTCTGCTCTATTTTTGCATTACTGGCACCTTCAATCAGAATGGAATAATTTCTGTTTTTGCCACGTTTAGATGTGTCACGCGTAGCAACAACTCCATTTGAGACACTCTCGGTTCTGCCTCAGCGTAATTTACGACGAATTATACCTTTGCCTTCAAGTATAGATAGCTCACAAACTGAACCACAATTACTGGACCCAATTCAAGCAGCTACACCGATTTCGAGGAGACTTATAAATTTGCCTTCACGCACAGTTTTAAGTACAGATAACTCACAAATCGAACCACAATTACTGGACCCAATTCAAGCAGCTACACCGATTTCAACGTCAATGATAAATAAACCAACGAAAGACCAGCGTTTAAATAAACAACTTTTCCATTTGAACAATATACCAACTCAGCTGAATTATAAAAATGACTTTGGTGCAATAATATCGCAATTTCCTTTACAAAGTACATCAAGTGCACATCAGAAAATAATCAACTATCTTTGTGTTGCAGGTAAGTTTATGTCGTGTCAATCAGTGTAGGGGTTAAAAGTAGTCGAGTTATAACCTGAGTTATAACTTTTGAGTTATAACCGATCAACTTTTTGATCGAAAAGTTATTTCGGTTATAACGATCAACCGCAGTTATAACTGTCAACTGTAGTTATAACTACTAACCTTAGTTATAACTGTCAGAATCGGTTGAAACCATCAATTACCACAATTCAGCCACATTTTATTGCTCTACGATTTTATTTGACAAGTATAGTGATAGTGCGTTCTAGATTACAGCCTTCTTTCATTTTGTCTTTATCATTTAAGACGTCTTTAGTTCCTTTTGTAATGAAAGAATTCATCGAATAAGTTTAATATGCATAATGTGCAACCAATGATTTATTTAAAAAATTGAAGAGAAATTACAGTAACAAATATATCACAACCTGGTGAACAAGAAAAAAAAATAACAGAGCACTTTTGAGAAATTATATATTCATAGTCTCTGTTAATAATTTATCAACATCATAATCTTCGTTTGATACTGTTTCAATTAGTTCAGCTTCTGTTGCTTCATCATCTTCAGTTGGCAACAGATGAGTTGTGAAAAAGCTGAAATAGTGGGGATTTAAAATTAAGGGAAAGCGTATAAAGAACAATGCTAATATTATTGTCCTAAAAATCCGTGTATGTTTCAACTCTAATTGAATGTATTCGAGGATTGATTTTGAACTAAAACAGTATGGTTCGAGCGTTTCCTCTGTGAAGAACTCAATGGTCTCAATTCTTTCGATCGTTGTTGTGTTAAAAACAATGCATTATAATCATTATTTATAATATGAAATACTTTGATTATCGATCTCTGTTTTCATTATCTACCTTGTAATCTATAATCTCAGATCGATCTACATGACATTAAAACCATACAAAAACTATTAAGATGAGCTACTAAACAGTTTTTTACTTGACCAAATAACAAAATGCGTGGTATGGAAAATTCTCGTGACCTACACAATATATCGATAAAAAGCTAATTTTTTTCAACTCATGTGTTCTAATTATGGAGATAAGAAACTTTATCTAGAGGAGGAGGAGCATTGTAATTTAAACAATGATTAATGAATATAACTATGATCGATAGATATAACCATGACTAACAGTTATAACTACGGTTAACAGTTATAACTGCGGTTAATAGTTATAACTTCAGTTTTAACCATTTTAACTTTTTGCCGATTTTCTCAACTTTTAACTTTTCGAAAAATAGTTTTAATCCCCACACTGGTGTCAATACTTTCTATCTCATTGTGTCTCTGTGCTTTAGAAACGTTACAAGCCACCACATTTCCATCGGTAGCAGTACATATTATGTTTACAAAAAGAATTAATTTTAAAACATTATTCCTGAACAACATTTTCCCCAGTAACTATTTGTGTATCTTCTATTATTCAGTATACTTCAACAACCTATGATTTTTTAGATCTGCAATTAAAACATTACAAAAATGTTATAAACAATGATGTATTCAACGATAAAATTAAAGAAGAAACTAACGATTTATATGTAGAAACATCGAAGTATGAAAGGAAAAATGATTTCAAATTAACATCAACGCAATACAGAAGTCGACAAGCTCATTTTGCTGCACTAGCTTTAAGTCAAGGATCAGTCGAACAAGGTAGACACTGTTCTCTAAAAAAAAGGTACTCTACCTTTACTAAATTTATAAAAAAGATATGCAAAAAGTAGCTCTCAGTGTTTTGAATTTCCTAACCAAGAGATTTTCGCTAAAACGTTTCGAGATCAGGTCAGTCGATAGAGAATTAAATTGTCTACAAAATGGTTTATTTACTTTTGAGTTCTGACTTTTTCAAAAATTTCTGCAAATAAAACAAAATCATAGAAAAACGTCACGGAATTACGTACGCAAGCAGAGTTAGCTGGCCAGGCCGTATATACCTTTTTAAGATTTCATAAAATCTACGAAACCTTTTAGGGTTTCATACAGACTAAGGTTTCGCAGAGCAGCTTAAATTCGTCACTGGAAAAAATTTGTGTAAAAACACAAAAACAAGTGTTTTCCCAGTGTTCCCAAGCTTTTCCCAGTCACGGATTTAGCTAACGAGGGAAGGCCACCGACTGATCCCTCGGTTTTGAGCTGAAACTTAGTTGACAAGGGGTAATCGAACATGCTGATTCCGAATATCATAATGGTTTTTGCCCGCTTTCACCTTAAAGCCCCGTTTTTCAAAGATCTTGGTTTTTAGGCCGAAAAATC